TAAGGAGAGATAATGACCTAAGATTTTCAGTTTATCCCATCAGATAATCTCCAGAACTTTAGCCTTTCCTGAGGCTAGCCCGAGGGCTTTCCACGGGGAATGTGGGGAGACCTTCATTAACCTCAAATCTAAGAGGCTGGTGTTCCATCATCACCCAGAGCCAGCAAAACTTTTGCTTATAGCTTACAAACTTCAACAAATGAAAAGGTACAGCTGAGCACTGTATACTTTGACGACAAAACATTAGGCCTAAGCCTTAAGATAAAAGCAAGTGCCCAGAATTCTAACATGCTTTTTTGGACCCCTTTCTACTCAGGATGCTAAATTGTAATTGTGCTATAGTCTTTTGCTATATCAATGTTTCATGAAACCCACTTACTGTTATTACACATTTCGGTTGTTTCAAAGTTTTAGCTAACAATGCTTGGGTGAGCTATCCTTTACTTCAGTTGTGTTTATATTTATTTTTTTGAAATAAATTCTTGAAAATAAATTCCTGAATCAAAACCATGCATACAAAAGCATTTTCGCTCCCTCCCTCCCTTCTTCGGGGTGCATGTTTGAGGGTGTCAGGTAGAGGTCAGAGGACAGTTTTCAGAAGTTTCTCAGAAGTTGTTGTCAGCCTTGGTGGCAAGCCTCTTTCCCTACTGAGCCATCATGCCCCCAGTTTTTTCATTTTCTACATTTAAAATTACATGTACTGCTGTTTACTGGAAGCCAAAGCTAATGAAGATTTACAGGAAAAACTCAACCTCATGTTCCTGATCTTATCTCTCTGAAAAGGTGACTCGTGTTAGATATTTTCTGTGGCTATTTCCTGGGTTCTCTCTGAGTTTTATGTAAGTGGGATCAATAACACACACACACACACACGACATACAAACAACTGTGTAATTCATTTTTATCGGCAAGCATTCATTCTTCTTAATGTCAATGGATTTCTGGATGGGAATGCACCAATGACACTTGTTCACTTAAGAGCTAAAGAAGGTAATCATGATTTAATCTACCATCTTCCAATTGAAGGACACTACTGTGGCCTCAGATAGTTTCTCTATTATGAGTACTGCTGCAATTAACATTTGAAAATCTTTTGATACATACTCCTGACATGTTCCCCGGCAGCCACCATTTGTGCATACTCTCCAGCACTGAGACTGCTTCCCTGTAGCTATACCATCCCCACCACTTAATTTTGATCCCATGCCAATCTAAAAGGCAAAGAGTGGTGTCTTGTTGTTTAAATTTGAATTTCTTTTATTACTAATTAGGTTGAACTTTTTCATGTGTTTGTTGATCGATTTGCATTCCTTCTTTTGTGGAATGCCTGCTTAAGACTTTTGTGTACTTTTCCATGAAAGTCTTGAAAATAACTCTGGCCTTTGCTGTCTTTGTGACTTTTCTTTATGAATTTTTAGGACTTTTGAAATGATTAAATAGCTTTTAGGCCAGGAAACTTAATCTTTCTGTCTGACTGTCTTAGTATAATTGACACATTTCAAACTTTAGGTTATGTAAATTTCTAATCTAGAAATATTGCTGTAAGTTATGAGAATAGGGCTTTGTCTCTTAAAATGATTAGTGAGTTCTCAATCACGTTTCTTTCACTCATTTCCACTTAGTTTAGATCCCACCATTGTCACATTAGTGAATTTTCAAATGCTCAGACATGTTTCTCTGGGTCCACTTGTTTCTGTTTCTAGAATTGAAATTATTGCAATTTTGTAAATTATACCTGCCAGGGCAGCAATCCTCTTCATTGTTTGTAGAACCCTTTTCTAGCTAATACACGTTTGTAACTTAAAGAGAACTTGTAAATCATTTGAGTTAGTTCCTTGCTCATCCAAATATAAAAATTTCTATTAAGATTTTGGTTGAAGTTGTATGATAAATGTTCTTGAAGTGAGATTCTACAATCTAATAGACATTTGAGATATGAAATCTTGGAACTTAGTGATCTCCAATTATTTAGTTTGTCTTTCAGTAAATTTTGAATGGCTTCCCTTCCTCATTCAGTTCCAGCGTCAATTGTTGCTAACTTCAAAGGTGTAATATGCTAATTTGTATGGGATTTCTTTTTCCTATTATGTCTTCTTGAATATAGACATATTTGTCTGCATTTTTTCAGTAGGTCTAATGATTAAGTTGATTCTTCAGAATCTTACAAATACTTTGTGCTATAGCCCATAATTAGAGTTTGAGTTCTCCTTTTTCCTTCATTGCCAGTTATGTCTTTTATTTCCTAAGCAGTTAGCCAGAAGATCTGGAGAATCAAGAATAGCAAAGGTGACAATAGGCATTTTTTTATATTTGTGTACTTTTAAATTTTTCCCTTTTTTTTTTTTTTTCAAGACAGGGTTTCTTTTTTCAAGACAGGTGTAGCTTAGGAGCCTATCTATCCTGGCACTCACTCTGTAGTCCAGGCTGGCCTAAACTCACAGAGATCCACCTGTTTCTGCCCCCCAACCCCAAGTGCTGGGATTAAAGGCATGTGCCACCAATGCCTGGCCTAAAATTTCTATTTTTTAAAAATTTCCCAAACAGTACATGCAGATACATATAGCATACAGAAATGAAAGTTATGCAAGGTCCTTTGATTTTATTTATGTGCTAAAATCCATCCTGAGACTAGTAGTTTGAAAAGTGTGTACTAGAGAAAAGTCCACCTGAGTGAAGAAGGTTATTTGATGAGTGTATGTAGAAAAGTGTGAATGACACACTGGTAAGGCATTTGGGTCAAACAGGTTCACTCTATTGATCAGTTTGGGTGGTGACATCAATGTGGTGGTCTTACTTTCTATGACACATAATGTCTGGACGCTCAGAGAAAAGGCCATGGAACTGATACTGTGAGCATGTTGATTCCTAATTCGCTGAAAGATTAGATCACTAGATTGCAGCCAGGTCTGAAACCTGAGCCGTCTAAGAGTGACAGGTTTGAAAAATGGGCTTTGGGTTCACCTGATCCTCCTGTTGCCTAATTGTGAAAAGGGATTTTCTTCTTCTTCTTCTTCTTCTTCTTCTTCTTCTTCTGCTGCTTCTCCTCCTCCTCCTCCGCCTCCTCCTCCTCCTCCTCCTCCTCCTCCTCCTTCTCCTCCTCCTCTTTTTCCTCCTCCTCTTCCACCCTCCCCTCAGGAGCTTCCATGTGTTCAGTGGGCAGTCAGGCTCTACTTTTTGGTTAAGAGAGGAGGCCACAGTCCTTGATGAAGCTTTTAAGGAAGTCTTGGTGATTAAACCTGAAGACAACACCCGACATCCATCTTCACAGGAAAGTTTCTTCCCAGGCTTCAGAAACTCCTGACACCACTGAAAGAGATCCTTTCTCTGCCTTTTGCTGTCTCAGCATTCCTGCCCTTCCTATGTGTTAGCACTCCTAATTTTTCCTCTTATCCTGGGTCATATATGCACACACACACATACATGCCTCTTTGTATATGGGGTTGGCTGATGGAGATGCTGGATGTTTTAATGTCCCCATGAATACCCCCACGTGTTTTAAATTACGTGGAACAGTGTGATCCCTCAGAGGCTTGCTTTTCAGCCTTGTTAGGAGAGCTACAGGAGCCTTTAGCCCATCACTGATGAGACACCCTTTTAAATGCTGTCTCCCATTCCCCATGAATACCCCTGTTCTACCACTGCAGGTGGTAGGGACATCTGGGTGATTTCTGAGGCTTGTGAACTTAGTCTTTCTGGTAACTAGTTCTTTCTCACTAGGCCGTATGCACAGTGCCAAGCAGTTCTCGGCTCAAGGCAGAGCTCTGTGCTTATGTAGTTCTCTACAGCTTTCTCTAATGCAGTGAGGTCCCTGTGAACTGTGATCAGCTTGGCCTTTATGGAGCACCGATTCCAGTTCAACCGAGAGGGTGACCACAGGAACCCCTACAGCAGTTCCACCTGTCCTGTGGGCTGGAAATCCTGCCAGACACTGTAGCTTACTGTGTCCACTCTAAGGGACATCCTTGTGTGCATTCTAATTGTTTCAAGTGGAAGGTAAAGATAGTCTCTGCCATTCTTTACAGTCGGACATAGTTTAGTTTCAAAGTATATATCACTTCTACTGTAAGTGCTCCTTTACCACAATTATTTTCTGACCCATGGTCAGAGACAAACATTAAAATTCCATGCCATGATTTTTAAAATATCTTTATAAAATGTGTACTTTTAATTTTAAAAAATATTTATTTTTACTTTATGTGTAGGGGTGTCATGCCTACATATATATGTATAGGAACTGCAAGTAAGCCTGATGTTCCCAGCTGCCAGAACAGGGTCTGGGAGCTCCTGGAAGTGGAGTTAAGGAGCTGTGAATCCTCTAGAAGAACACCAAAGGGTGTTAAGTTCTGAGACACATCTCCAACACCATGTATCTTTTATTTTTAAATAAAATTTAAAGCTAGCATGCAAAGTCCTGTATATATATATATATATATATATATATATATATATATATATATTCTCATTTATTACCTCCCACTCTCTTCCCTCCATGCCCTCTACCATCTTCTTGCTGTCCCCTGCTTCCCCCTAAATAGTTGTTTTCTGCTTTCATGCCATATGCACATTTGTGACTTTAGAGATAATATGTGTTTCTTTTACTTTAACAAGTCATCATAGACTCATGTCACTAAGCAAAGTCAGTGGTTTTCATTTTTTCATTATTAGGAATCACTGTTCTGATGCTAGTTTGTTACTAAAATGTTGCTTTGTCTATAGATATTTGTATATTTGTTTATACATTGGATGGTTTTAAGATTCTGAAGGTCATAAGCCTTGTGTGACAGGGACTCTGTGCCCTGCATTTCAGTTTTGCATTATCCTCGGAAAAATTGACCTAACTTTTCATCTCTCCAATTTCTAATTTTTGCAGGGACAGAGGTTAAAAAAAAAAAAAAGCAAAACCATAATTCCAAGTGATTAAAGTTCTGTGAGTTTCAGATATTCTTCATACACTCAAAATGTAGAAGCAATGGTTTTGGCTGAAATTAATTTCTTTTTAGGTGGTTCCGAGTGTCATCTGCTGGGCAGAGAAGAGTCCATAGAACTTGAAGACATATTCTCTGTGAGGCTGAAGAGGCGCTGTTCTGTGAAGCACCCAGGCAAAGGCACTCTCTTGGGTATCACCCTTTTCATATGCTTGAAGGAGCAACAAAACAAACTAAAGGACTCTACCCTTGATCTTATTAACCTGAGTGAAGACCACTGTGACATATGGTTCAGAGAGTTCAAGAAAATTCTGGAAGGTAAGTACTCACCACAGAAATTTTTAGTAAACATGGGCTTCCTTGATATAGGTGAGCTACATCTCATGTCAGGGACTGTTGAGGTGGCTCAGAGGTCACACAGTGGCTCACAATCATCTGTAACTCCTGGTCCATGATTCCTGAGGCCCTCTTCTGGACTCCATGAGAACCAGGCATGCACATGGTTCACAGACATCCATGCAGGCCAAACACCCATACACATAAAATTAAAGTTTAAAATCACAAGTTACTAGTTATTTTTCTGGGCAAAAGAAACATTTGATTGTGCTGTGAGTATCCCTTTTTTGTTTCTAGTCTCTTCAATTATGTGGGGATCTTGTATCTTGTCAGATGGTTTCCATAAAGTCAGCTAAGAAAATCATATAATTTCCCCTTTATTTTGTTGATATGATTGACATAGTACAATGATTGATAATTGTGTTTAACTATCCTTGCAATCAAGAATAAATCTCATTTTATCACAGCATATAATTCTTTTAATATGCCATTGAATTAATTTGGTACAACTTTGTTAAAGGATTCTTGCCCAAGTGTCCATAAAAGGTATTATCTTTAGGTTTTCAATAGTACTGTTGTCTGAATAATCCTGATCTTATAAAATGAACTCTAACTTTTGAATAGATACACTTGTTAAGTTTTGGTAATTCTAATTAAGACAGATATTTATTTTATTATATGTACGGGTGCTTTGCCTGCATGTGTATCTGTACACCATGTACATGAAGTGCCCATAGAAGTCACAAGAGACAGTGAATCTCCTGGAACCGCAGTTACAGAGAGTTGTGAGTTGCCTTGTGGGTGCTGGGGACCAAACCTCAAGTTATCTTGACCACTGAGCCATCCCTCCAGCTCCCTAATAAGTTTTAAAATAATTGAATTGTGTTTTAAAATTTTTATTTCTATATGTGTGTGCATCGTGGTACATACATGTGGATGCATATGCCATAGCGCATACATGGACTTGTTTCTATCTTCCCACCTTCATGTGGATACTGGGGATTGAACTCTGGTGGTCGGGTTTCCAGGGCAAGTACCTTTTCTGCTGACACCTTCCCAGCCCTGTGAGTTACTTTTAGAATTATCTTTGTTGTACTAGCTCACATTTCTCTTGAGCTTGTTTTAGAACTAATTTGCCTCCTCACCACACACTGCTAGCAAAGTACATTTATGTGTCAGGAATTTGAAAATAGATTTTTTTAAAAAAATGATAATCCATAATATGCTATACATTTTACTCATTGGGAGTTGTCTAGCTTGGGGTAGATTTTTCTGAAGGTTAATGTCTGAGTGTGTTCATGAGGGTATGTTAAGTACTGGACTTTTTGTGTTTGAATTTTTGAAGTGACATTTTTACATTCTGGATGCTAAAGTCTTCAATATCATGCACTTCAAATGCATAGAACTTACCTAATTAAAATGTCTCATTTGGAGATTAGAGATTATTTCCCCACTGACCCATTTTAAATATTTTATCATGTTGAGCAGTGGAGAAGTAGCCGGAGTATTTGTTGCAGTTTGGGGTTGGATGACAGTGTTGGATACCGGACAGAAAGCAGATCATGGTGACATCAGGAGCTCCCAACCCCAGCAGCACTGATCTGGAATATCATTTGGCACACACTGGCCTGTGGTGGATAGCTGCTAAGCATTTGCTTATAGCCGATGAGCTGAAGTGACTGCTTTGAGCCCTGGAGAGACTGCCTTTTTAGCAGCTCCTTTGGGATCTTTAGAGGACCTGCCTTTCAAGAGGACGGGAACATACACAGGCCAGTGTTTGGTTCATCTCTCTATAAACAAACAAACAAAACATGTGTTCATAACTAGAAGGAATTCATTGTAATGTGTTATTTTTTCAAAGCTGTTATTTTAAAATTCTCCCAAAAGATTTCAATTAAATGTATTAACATGAGTAGGTATTCAAAAGGCCTGGATAGTCAATAAATTAAGAATGTGTCATTTACTTAGGAGAGTGAACCTCTTCCTTGTTCTGAGGTCTGAGAAATCTCCCAGAGGGCTTATGAAGAGCTGACTGGGGCAAAGCCAATATATCTCACCCATAAAGTCAACAGCAAGTAAGCAGAGGATGTCTGAGTAAACCTCATTTTGGTAAAAGCAATTTTATAGGAATAGAGAGACTTGTCAAAATCCAAACAAAATACCCTTGAAAATACTGTCCAAATATTTAGTTTAATGGATGTTTTAGCTTGATCTAGGGTTAAAAATCTACTCAAATTACAGAGATGAATAAACTGTGCATCTTTGCCAAACATCCTCTGGGGATCTCACTTTGAACTTTTGATTTAGATAAGAGTAGGAAACCGTGAAATATATAGGGTCATTTCCTCCGGCTTTCTTCTGGACTGCAGAATTACTTTGCTCATTGAAAGTAAATAGATTGACTTCTAAAACCAACTAATGCATCCCAGAAGTGTTGAAAGCCTCTGATGACAATGAAAGAACCTAAAGAAGCATCTGCTCTATCTCTGCATCCAGGGACCCAGAATGTCCTGTAGGGGATGCTTGGCTTCTTGTCCCATAGGAGACAGTCTGGATCATCTCTAGATGTCTGCCAGTTATATCATATAGGATCTCCCTTTTCCAGCTTACAATCTAATGGACCCCCCCTTTTTTCCAACCTGTATAATTTAAGTATTCATTAAACCTTTTGTCATCTGAGAATGAAATCAGTTGGCTCCAATCCTCTTCCATGAGTGGTGGAAACCCGTGTCCCTTCCAGGCAGAGGGCTAAGGTCTGTTGCCCAATGCCTTGTGATCTTTCCTTGGAGTTAGGTCTCTCTGTCTTAACACCCACCATTTCTGCCTCTGACACAGTGGCTTCCATTTTGGCAGAGATCGATTGCTCTTTCCTTATACACCTGCCCAGTATCCCTCATTTAAAGAGGATTTTTTTTTTTTTTTGTCTGTGGGAAGTTTGGGAGGTGACAGAAATTTTGCATATAAAAAATGTATGTAACATTCAGGTAAGTATTAGACAACCATATTTTAATTCCAAGGACAAAGTCCTTACTTCTAACTGGGTCTGCTAGTAAAAACAAGCCTTCTTAAAAAATGGCATTGAAGTAAAAATTATTTGGAGTTTTGTCTTGATTGAGCAAAGTAGAATTTTTTTTCTTTATTGCCAGCACTTACACCTCCCTCCTTGTATTTTTCCAAGGAGAAAAACATGGAGACATTCAGGGCTCAAGTGGGTGGTCCTCTAGTCTTAATTAATCTAACAATTACGGTTTTATATAGTTCTGTCCCTGTGTTATTTATAAATATGAACAATTATACTTGGAATCTGAGCAAGGAATAAGATGTGATAATTTTTATGGGAAAATTGGCAGTAGTTGGAGGAAGAAAGCAGTATCAAATACTTGAGATTTGAAAACTAATTAACATTGACTAAATAATTACAGGTTTATAAATATAAAAGAGCCCTTTTTCTTTTTATCTAAAAGTCAATTAATTTCACTCTTGACCCTATTTTCTGAGCCTAGTAAAGCACAGAATCTTTTAACTTTATTTTATTTGTGTTTTTGAGACAAGCTATGCACAGCTCAAGCTAACCTTGAACTCATGTCTTCCCTTCAGAGCCTCCTCATAGCTAGAATTTCAGGTGTCTGCCCGGCTTCCTTTTCAACTTCAGTCATAGAAAAGCTGTCTTAATTTTATAACCAGTAGGCAATATGATTCATTCATACAACACACATTATGTACCAGACTCTGTGCTGTGTGTTGCAAACAAACAGAAAACCAAAAGCAAAAAGAGGAAATATGTGGGGTTAGAGAGATGGCTCGGTAGTTAAGAGCATGGACTGTTTTGAAGATAACTTGAGTTCAGTTCCCAGCATCCACACCAGCAGGCTTACAACTGCCTGAAACTACAGCTTCATCTGGCCTCTGCTGAGATCTGCACTCAAATGCACAAACTGCCCCTGCTTTGCCCCCAACTGAAACCCCCACAGCTACAACATAGTAAAAATAATAAAGAAAATTAAAAAAGGATATGTACTCCTCAAATTTTTCTTGCCCTGGAAACAGTTAAGACAATATGCTGTTTTAAAAATAGATCAAATGTGCAATGAAGACAGAAAACAAACTTAGGCAAAGCATAATCATTGATACAGGAATTAAAGGTGTTTTTTTTTTTTCTGCAATTGTCATCATGTCAAAAGTTGTCTAACATAGGGTTTTCTGACTTTAAAAGGGTACCTGTGATACAAAGATAAATATGCACAGCTTTAAACATAGTATGTGTATATGCTAGATATGTCCGTTCTTATCCCATTAGGACACAATTCTATTTTTACAGATTTGAGTTTCCTAGTAATGGTGATTTGAAAGTATCATTGGACCCTGATCCAAGCTTTTTCCTAGAGATTGTAATCTAGGTTTGAATGAATATCCTTGGGCCTTCTAGTATGCACCTCAGACAGTCTCACTGGTGATATTTTGGACCTGCCTAATTGACTGAAACCTATAGAACCAAGAATAAGACATTTTTAAAAGTGAAAATCTCTAAAAATGTCTACTAAGTAACTTGAAAAATGAATAGGTAGAGTGGAATCAGGGCTCTGATTGGCTCCAAGGGAAGATGTCCTCCTGATTTGGGCACATTAGGGATGGATGTGTTATAAGGTTTCTCTTCCTCTGGAGAGGATGAAGTTCCAAGCACTTTGAGAGCAGTTTGTGAGGAAGTGAAGAAAACCAACCATTATAGGAATAGAGGCATAAGACTAAAGATAAAACCACAAGGGCATTTATGTAATAAAATATAAAATAAAAACCTGAGAAGAAAAATTCAGAAGGAAGGAACCAAAGGTAGAAGTCTTACAGAACATGCCTGCTGGATTTTGTTGATCTATTTACGGCTTGTTAATCTGTTTCAATTAATAGAAACAAGTAATGGTATTTTTAGCACATATTGGGGAGATTTAGTTTTGATGCCATTACTGTTCAGTTTCATATCTAAATGC